GCGTAGGTTCAAATACTGCGAGACACAGCATCCTCATTACATGTCCCGCCGGCTGGACAACCGGAGTCTAGTGCTCGGGACACACCCCCCTGATAATCGTACAAAGCCTGAGGAAATAACTCCTGGGCGAGGGGTCCCGGAGCTGGGAAGAGTTTAAGGGGGGGTGGCTGTAACCTAAGAATAAAAAGGCCCCCTTTTTGGTATTGGGTAACTTTATAAGGAACCTAGGCCTACAAAAAGGGAATAAGGGTACTACTGGGCATCCTAGGTGGGGGTTTGTAGTGCTGGATTTAGGAAGACTATCAGGGGAGTGGGCTCTGAACCGGGGGGGTTATAATGCTGGGTTTAGGAAGACTATCCAGGCAGGGATGGCTCGTATTCCTGCATTTAAGAAGACTATGAGGGGGTTTCCGAAAATAGGGGAACCTAATATAGTACCCGAAATAGTAGGATCCTTATTATAAGGACCCCAAAATAAGGTACCCCTAGTTTTCGGAAACTCCCATGAGGAGGGGGGAGGGGGTGGCTTGTAGTTTTGGGCTTAAAAAGGACTATGAGGGAAAGTGGTTTGGCTCGAGCATCTCCTAGTCCTCCCGGACGCCTGTCCGGTCCGATAGCCTGACATTTCTCCCCCAGAGCCTCCAAAACCCCTTAATTAAGGAATATACCTTAAATTATAGTAGGGTCCCTTATATGATTTAAGGTATAATCCTTAATTAAGGGGTATTGGAGGCTCTGCGCCCAAAAAAACTTACAAATCCCAGGAGTGCCCGTCCTACTTCCCCTTCACTGCTATCGAACGGGTCTGGACAACTGAGCCCTACAGCCAGAAAACCTTAAAACCCCTATACCCCCACAACCCTCAACGTCTTAACCCCTGCACCCCCCGGAGCCCTAAACCCCAAAAACCCCCAAATCCAAACACCCTGCACTCCTAGACTAAACCCCTGAAGCCCTAAACCCTGAACCCCCAAACAACAAACTCCTCAACACCTTTATAACACCCGAGCTCTAACGAGCTCTAAACGCCGATGCCCGAGCTTCCTTAATGCTGGGGTAGAAAACCGTGTCCCAGCCTCACTCGGGCAAAACTCTTTACGGTTTAGGCTTGAGGTGAACAGGGTTCAGGGTTTGGGGGGCTGTTGCTCATGGGGTGTTGCGGTGTGTAAACGGGCACTGGATGGTTTGGGGAGCTGGGTAGTGGGTCTTTTGAGGTCGCCCTGGGACATCAAAACCTAAAACCTGCGCCGGAGGGCTTCCGCCGGAAACAAGGAGCTGACATTCTATATTATAAGAACATATGACACGTCATGGTTCAGTATACAGGACTTTGTGCTTGGGTGTTTGCGATTCAGGATTTAGTGTACTGGAAACATGCTCGGCATGCAGTAAAAAAAACGCAAAAAAAACAGGCGAAGCTCCTATGCTACTCTGAACCTCAAAGCCAACCTTAACCCCTTAATTGAGGAATATACCTTAAATTATGGTAGGGTCCCTTATATGATTTAAGGTATATTCCTTAATTCAGGGGTTTTGGAGGCTCTGGGAACCTCAAAGCCTACCTTAACCCCAACTAACCTACCTTTTTAAGGACCTATATAAAGAAATCATATTAGGGAACCCTGAAAAGGCAGGTTCTTGAGGGTCCAGGTACACCCTGAAGACTTGGGCCAGATATCCTCCGCTCCGAAAAATCGACCCAAAACACCAAAAAGCACCTACAACTAAACCCCTGAACCCTTACCCTAAACCCTAAACCCTAAACCCCAAACCCTAAGCCCTAAACCCTAAACCCCTGAACCCTAATCCTTACTAAAACCTCTAAATTTCTTTACACCTGTAAACGTCAGACTTCTCGAATCGAAACGAGCGACTCCCATTTTGCAGCAGCTGGAAGCTCTCCCAGCCCTGCGCGCCGATCATCACCACCTTGCTTTGCTTCGGTGATGCCCAAAAGATACGGTGGGGCTAAGGGCTTAGGGTGTAAGGTCCGATACCCAAACGATAGAAGTGTTCTAGAGGCTTTGGAAAATTTTCTAGCGGTTTTGTGATGGCTCAAGGTCTGGGGGTTGCAAGGGCATCTTTACAAGGGTCGCAGAATCAGGATTAGGAAAACCTAGAAGTTGAGGCTGGTGAAGGAAATTAACGGTTTAGGGTTTAAGGCTGCCCCCACCCTGTAATAGTGACTATAAGGATGATATTAGGGCCCTATTATACTCCTATTATACCACTATTACAAGGTGGGGGCAGCTTCTAAGGCTTAGGGTTTAAGGCTTCTTTTCCGACACATCGGGCATATGAGGGTTTGAGGCTGCTCACTGCAGGCGTTTGTCGAGCGAAGTAGGCTCACCTTGAGGCGATGTGTAGGCTTGGACATCACCCGGGTTGCGCGGGTACCAGACCTAAAACTTTCCAGGCTGGCCGGGGGTGCAAAGTGCTGAATGCGTGCACCAACCCCACGCGCACAAGATTGCAAAAGCTCAACTAATCTTCGATGTGCGCATCTACGAAATACAAATGAATACGCCCTCAAGACCCGCAAAGCCTGAACTGCGCAACAGTCCCATGACCGTTAAGACTTAGACCGTAAACCAAAATCAGGAAACCAATAAGGTCTTGCATATTCGGGAAATTCCAGGCCACGTACACAAAGTCGTGGCCATCCCAGCGCATGACCTCCCGAGTGGCGCCCAAGAGGTGGCTCAGTTTCTTCATCTACAAAGTTTGTTTTATGCGCTTCATTCGGTTGTATATAGGCTGAAGAGTGTCTCAGAACATAGTGAACCCCAGAAAGTTGGTACTGGGATTCCTATACTTGCCTTGAGGGCATGAGGATAATGATGTTCCAACTTTCTGGCTTCTGATTCTACTGTAAGCACATGGGAGTTTCCGAAAAGAGGGGACCCTAGTATGGTACCCTAAATTGTCGGATCCTTATCATAAGGACCCCAAAACAAGGTACCCCAAATTTTCGGAAACTCCCACATAGAGGAACCTCAGGGATGTCATTCGGCCCCCCCCACCCCCCCTGCAAGAGTTTGATCTCAGGGTTCGCTTCAGGAATCTTTAGAGGGTTCTATAAATGGAGTGCGGACTTTTTTAAGGGTTCTGGAGAGGAGTTGGGGTTTAGGGCTTTGGGCTTACCCAGAGAGCCCAATACCCTTTAATTAAGGAATATAGCTTAAATCATAATATGTAGCCCTATATAATTTACGCCCTATTCCGTAATTAAGGGGTATTTTTGCTCTCTGGGTAGGGGACTCTCAGGGTGGTTGGGAGTTTACGGGATTTCGTCTCCGGGCTCGGGGTTTTACTTAGATTCGACCAGTTTTGACAGATCTTCTCACAGCGCTCTAGAGGATTGCCCAGAGAGCCCAATACCCCTTAATTAAGGAATATGGCTTAAAATATATAGGGCTTCATATTATGATTTAAGCTATATTCCTTAATTAAGGGGTATTGGGCTCTCTGGGTGCTTGCTCGAAAAGCGATTCCTACTGGGGTTGGACCCTTTCTTCCTTGCAAAACAGGTCCCACCGTAATGCTTACGGCTTCGGGCGCGGGCTATGCAGTCTTGGGCGTTAAGGTTCAAGGTCTGTGGCCAAACCCTAAACCCTAAACCCTCAACCCTGAACGAGTCGAGGGAGCAGACGAAAGCCTTCGGGGTCCTCAGGCCGCGAAGCCAAAATCCAAGAGAGACCAATACTTGGAGGTTCATGGGTAGCTATAGGTAGGGTAATAAGTAGGGTAACTATACCTATAACCCATATTAAAGGACTTCTAACCCTACTTATAACTACCCCTGAACCTCCAAGTACCCCCTGATTCGGGAATACACCTTACACTCTAGGGCCCTACCATTCTGATTTTTCAGGCAAGGTAGAATCCTTAGCCAGGGAGCCGCGGTGAACTAGTCGCGCCTGAAGCAACAAAGCCCCAAGCCTGAAGCCTACACCCCAAACCTCTAAACCCTAAACCTCTGAACCCTCAACCCTGAACCTTAGCCCTACCCGAAAATCCCACAGACCGCGGAACCTTGAATCCCTCAGCCCCCATAACCTAGATTCGGATTCCCAAGCCCGAAATAAAACCCTCAACTTTGCCCTCAGCCAGATCGAACCAGAACAAAGCCCCGTGAAACCTTGAAATGAATGAAACCTATAATGAGAAACGAATTAAAACAAACTGCGCACCTCAACCCTAACCCTAAACCCCTAAACCCCAAACCCAGAAAAACCTAAACAACCCTCAACCCCTAAACCCCTAAACCCCTAAACCCCTAAACCCCTAAACCCCTAAACCCCTAAACCCCTAAACCCCTAAACCCCTAAACCCCTAAACCCCTAAACCCCTAAACCCTGAACCGTCGAGCCTCAACCCTGATCCCTTTAAAGGAATTAAGGCCCGCAAAAAAACCCTAAGCCCTCGAGCCTCCGGCTTCCAAGCTGTAAAGGTGCCGGCAATGGACAGCCGCATCTTGGGCGGCTCCTGCGCAGAGGCTCCAAAGATGCGACGCTTCGGGTTCGGGAAACCCTCAACCCAAAACACCTAGGAAAACGCTGAACCCCTAAACCCCATGTAAACCCCTCTAAATCCTAAACCCCAAAACCCCAAGACCCTAAATCCCTAGACCCTAAACGCAGAACTCCTAAATCCTACTTAGACCCCTAAACCCTAAACCCCAAAACGCCAAAACTCCAAAACCCTAGACCCTAAACGCAAAACCCCTAAATGTGAAACTTGATGGAGTTTGTAGTTGCAACGATGTCTTTCCGTATGAGTACTGCATATCGTGATGTCGCACTGGTCTCTGCTGCCCCGGTAGAATGATGTTCGACTCGCAAGGCCTACCGAAGGCATTCTGGCGCGAAGTGGAAAACACGTCATTCGACGTGCAGGCCGGTTCGGGAGGGCTTTTGTGGTAGGCCCCTAGGGTAGAGCCCCTCTCGAGCGTCTTAGTTTCACATTGGTAGCGGAGCCTTGGCTCCTTAGATCCTGCTATGACGGGCCACGCTGATGCTGCTCCGGATGCTGAGCCACCGGATGCGGCCGAGCAGACGGCGGCTACGCAGCCGCCCGGCGATGTGAACGATATGTACAATGCGCAGAATGCCAGCGCCGGACAGTGGACAGGTGTGAGTCAGTGGCAAGACTCCTCCCGGAGTCATTGGGATGACCATGATCGACAGTCGTGGGGAGGCGACTGGCATGGTTGGCGGGAAGTTGACAACACCCCTGCCTGGGAGCGGCGCCAGAGCTGGGACGCCACCACCGCGGCGACTGTCGGCTACACGGACAGATGGAGTGCGGGCGGAGACGACCCGTGGTCAAATGGCCACGACCCGTGGAGCGGAGCACCTCGCGATCTTCGTCAAGGACGCGACAGCGGATGGGAAGACCATCGAGGAGGTCCCTGGGCAGATGGTCGAGCCTGCCGTGTTCCGGGGAGCGATTCGGGAGATAGAGGACCAGGGTCACGGAATGGAAGCAACGTGTACGACGACGGCGGCCTTGCGTGGGGACAATGGAGGCTTTCAGGGTGACTGGACCGATCGCAGGAGCTTTCCGGGCAACGGCCGCGCCTCGGAGAAACTGGCAGTACCTACCTTCACAGGCGACGACTCCGACGACATCGGCAACTGGGCTAGGAGCTACCTACGCCAGATCGAGGCTTGGCGACGTATGACTATGCTCCCAGGTTCGCAACAAGGACTCGTCTTGTACCAGAACCTGGGCGGGAAAGCTTGGATAGCAGCCGAAGAGTTGTCAGTGCCTAGGCTCGCTTCTGAGGGTGGAGTTGGGTACTTCGTGTCGTGGATCAATGCGAGGTTTCTTGACTTGGAGGTTGCTCGGATTGGAAAGGCTTTCTCGGACTTCTTTAGACGACTCAAGAGAAAGCCCGGGCAAACGATCAGGGAGTATAACTCAGAATACGATCGTCTACATGCTCGCCTCAGAGAAGTCGGATGCAGTATCCCGCAGGAATGCGCAGCCTGGCTCTACATCGACCGCCTCCAACTAGACGAACCACAAGAACTGAACCTCTTAGCTAGCGTTGGGAACGAGTACAACCTCAACCGCCTCCAACAGGCTGCAGTGCTACATGACAGGGGACATCGCAAACCTTGGGAGTCAGGAAGGACCCGGAAGCCCTACACCGCGCACCTCACTGAGTCCCCGGACGGCGCTTCCGAAGATGGCGATGGCGGCGACCACGAGGACCTGGACTTAGAGGACGGCGTGCCGGAAGATGTGGCAGTTGCGTACGCTACCTACCAGAGCGCTAAGGACCGCTACAAGGAGCACGTCAAGGCGAGGGGCTACCAGGGCGACCGTTCGAGCGCTCCCACTCAGGAGGCACCGAAGAAGAATGACAAGGCCAAGGAGGACAAGATCAAGATCATGAAGGCGAGGTCGTTTTGTGGGAGCTGCGGCAAAAAGGGACATTGGCATCGGGATCCCGAGTGCCCCAACTTCGGCACGTCGGCGCAAGGAGCTTCGCGGGCCGCTGTTAAAGAAGTCGGAGTATGCCATCATGTTCCAGAAAAAGTTTTCTCGTTGCGGCACGATGGGCCCGCTCTTCTTGGGATCACAGATACTGCTTGCGCTAAGGCGGTCACCGGAACAATGTGGCTGCAGCAGTATAGTGATGTGCTCAAGGACATCGGAGCGGTGCCCGAGTTGGTGCGCGAGTCTGAGTCGTTCCGTTTCGGAACGGGCAAGGTGCACCACTCTTCCTTCCACGTGGTCTTGCGCTTCAGCCTCGGCAACAAGATCGTTGAGATGAGGACCTCGGTGATCAACGGGGACGTGCCCCTCCTCATGTCGAAGTCGGCCCTGGCTCAACTCGGCATGGTCTACGACGTGGCCGAGAATCGAGCCGACTTCACCCGTGTTGGGCTCACTGGTGTGGAGCTGGTCACCACTTCGTCAGGGCACCCGGCCATTCCTATCGTGCCGGCAAAGGCCTGCAGCGGGCCAGAAAGGCTTGTGATCGGTGAGACCGTCTCTTCGGGCAGCTCGCAATACACGGCTTTCGCATTGTCAGTGTTGAGACATGTGCAGTGCGAGAGTGGTAGTTCGAGAACAACAGGCCCCGAGGATACCACCACGAAGACTACTACGCCGCCTACACCAACCACCGTGACCACGAAAGCTCCTCCATTCAAGATCCTCTACGATAAGAAACTCAGTCCTGTCGTCAAGGAGTTGCTCACTCAGGATCAGTTGCATGGGGTGTCGTTTATGAACTGGTGGGAGAAGACCAAGATCAATCCGGACTTCTGGTTGGAAAGGGATTCCATGTGGCATCGCATTCACGTTGTACCTCGCAGGGCACTTTGTAATCCTTCTACATGGAAGACACAGCACACAGTCCAGAAGAACATATTGTTGCAGTCTGTTGGCGACCTGCGCGTGACTGAGGGTTTCTGCTGTAGATCCGGAAAGCCACTTGAAGTTGCAGTTGATCAGTGGACGCATGGTGGAGGAGATAGCTCTTTTCCGTTGTTATGGGTCGGAAGATCTTCTTTCGCGAAAGTGAAGCCCCCGCTTTCCCCTCAAGCCGACCCGGAGATGGCATGCAAGCAGCCCGCGATCTCCAAGATGACCAAGACTCAGCTGCTCGAGGAATGCAACCGCTTGGGGCTACTTGTGCACCGGAGCTGGACATGCGAGGAACTGAAGGCGACGATCATGGAGTACCGCATGAACGACCCAGAGACCCAGCAGGCCAGTGCGATGAAGTCCGTTTCCGGGATGACCCTTGCCGAGCTGCGCACCAAGGCGGACGGGCTCGGGGTGATGTACAATTCGACGACCACGAAAGGAAACCTCATTCGTCTCATCCGGGATGCGACCTCGACGCCGGGATCGGAGCTGATGAAGATAGGCAAGTACCGGGGCTACGAGTTCCAGGAGATCCCCCGGCAGTACGGCATGTGGGCGGCGCGAGAAATCAGGATGAGCTCGAATCCCCACGTGGAGTTCGAGGAGACGGCAACGGTGCCCTACCCGCTCGACAATGCGAGCCAAGCGGCGTCTACGGGGAGTACAGAGTGGGATGTGGTCACCGAGCGACGAGGGCGCTCGAGTCGAGACCTACCGATCGCCCCGCGGATCTCGAAGCGAGACGCGCCTGCGATTCCCGAGGAGGTGATGGACTCCGAGCTGGACCCGGCGACGATGGACGAGATCCAAGCGCTCGAGACGAGGCTGGCAGTGCTCAAGCAAAAGGCAAAGGCAGCGGCGATCCCGCCGCCCGCCACAAAGTGAGGTTTGATCTCACCTCCTCGGAAGGGTACCCTGCCCCAACCGAGGATGGAGGCAATCGCGGGGACACGACACGTCACCACGAGCACTACGAGACCTACGTGCCGGAACGAGAAGGCGGTGAACGACCTCTACATCAAGATGATCGGCGCCTACCAGGGCATGTTCACCCTCTACCCCGGCCACTTCAGGGAGAAGCTTCACAGTATGAGTCCGGAGGCCGCCATTTTGGAGGTAAGACCACTGGAACCGGGCACCACGAAGGGTGCTGTGGCTATCACCACGATGAAGTTCAGCACGGCGCCTTCCTCACCAACGAGGACTTTGAGCGGCCGAGCACCCAGAGCAACACCAACTACAGGTGCGAGCCAGCAAAGGACACTCAGCGTTGCCTACGACCACAACGACTACAACCCTGCCACCCTACAGCGACTACTAGAAGGCCTACAGTTGGGCTCGGTCAAAGCTTGCCGGGACACCGTGTTTGGAGGCAAGACTGGGGACCCCGTGCAGTACTTCACCTACGGGCTCTTCTCGCATGGAGGTGTAGTCGGACTGACGACGAGGACCCGCGAGCAGGACAACGTCGTCCGATACCTCAACGGCTACGCGAAGCACCACCTTGGCGCCGATGCTACATGGACTTCCGTGAGCTTAGCCCGCGACGTTAAGACCGAAGTGCACCACGACTACCACAACCTGAAGGGCACGGCCAACTTCACCCTCAGCCTTGGACAAGAGAGCGGCGGAGGACTGTGGCTTGAAGAAAAAGGGCTCACGGAGGACACGCTTCCGGGAGAGATCAAATGGAGACAAACTGGCACAGGCCAGTGGCTACCTGGGCGCGTTCACGACACCCACAACAAGCTCCATGAGTTTGACCCGTTCCTTAAGCACGGGTCCGAGCCATGGACGGGAACAAGGTGGTGCCTCACCTACCACACCACCCGCAACATCTACAAGGCGAGCGCCGGCATGAAGAAGTTCCTCAAGGGATGTGGGTTTCCGCTACCGAAAGGGCACGAGCCTCGGCAACAAAATCACCGAGAAAGAGGGAAACCACGGGCCAGTGTGAGGAGGACAATCTTCAACAACGCGGCGAAGATCGGTGTGATGCTCGCAACATTGGTTTCTGCAGCCAGCGGCTACATGGCGGAGCACGTCTACCCCGCCGTCGAGGCGAACCCCGTCGTGATCTTTGAGATTGGAGGAGTCGAAGCGACGCATGAAGCAGCCGCCATCGGGAAGGACGTCTTCGAGCCCATGACCTGGGAGAGGTACCGGTCTCCAGAAGGAAAGGAGAGTGCGCACCACATCGTCAACTTCGGCGGACCCCGAGAGCTCAGGATCAACCTCGACGGGAAGTACCAGGAGTGCGACGAAGCTCTGCTGGCCTTGATAGGCCAACAGATCGAGGATGGTGGAACCGTTGTCGTGACTGGCCACAGCGGGGACAGCCTTGTTCCCCACCTACGCGGAGAAGACCTACGAGGAGTTCGACGACACGCGAGCGAGGAGGACGAGAAGGTCTTCTTTGTCCTCTTTAAGGAGAAGGAGGAAACGGAGACGGTTCAATGCGGAGACAGGATTCACGAGGTGAAGATGGTCGCCAAGGCGAAGACCAACAAGGAGAAGAGTGAGCTTCCTATGGGGGGCGTCTGGGATCACGTTCGGCAAGGACACCCCGCGAAATGTCGCCACGGCACTGCGGAGACTTCACCAGAACCTTGGACACCCTCGACAACATAAATGATTCGCCACCTCCGGCTTGCGGGGTGTGATCCTTCGATACTGAAGGCCGCGAGATCGATGAGGTGTCAAGTCTGCCAGGCCAATGCCGCTCCGAAGATTGCCCGTCCGAGCACTATTCCGCCGATGGCCGACTTCAACGACACCCTCGGCCTCGACTTGTTCTTCTGCCACGACACCGACGACGTGAAGCACGCCTTCCTGTCTGTCGTTGACTACGGCACGACCTACCACGTTGCCATCAAGGTCGACGGGCAATCCGCCGAGGATATCGAGGCGAAGTTCAACGACATGTGGCTGATCCCACTCGGCCCTCCGAAGGCCGTGGTGATCGACCTCGAAGGAGGACTACAAGGAGCCCTTGGCAGACTTTGCGATTGGCACGGGATCGGTGTCCGGAGTGTTGCAGCCCAAAGTCACTGGCAAGCTGGTGTTGTCGAAAGACAGCAAGCCTGGTGGAAGCACGTATGGGACAAGGTAAGCTACCAGCTCAGCATCACTGAGGATGAGGTCGAGCTCGTCGTCCCCGTGATCAATGCCGCCAAGAACGACCTGAGAAGGCGATGTGGATACAGCCCTTCCCAGTGGGTCTTCGGCAAGGCCCCACGAGTTCCAGAGGACCTACAGGATCCAGACGGCGGAGCTCATGTTCTCTGGGATGTCAGCGAGGACGCCAAGTACCAGAGGCAGTCGGCAATGAGGGCAGCAGGGCGAGTGGCGTTTCACGCAAGCCAGACCGATGGCCGGCTACGCAAGGCTCTGCTGCAGAGAACACGGGTGGCCTCTCGACCCCTCGACGTTGGAGAAAGTGTGCACTTCTGGCACAAGCCTAAGAACCGGAGAAGAGGATGCTGGGCCGGACCGGCAGTTATCGTCGGCAAGGAGGGTGGCAACTACTGGTTGTCAAAGGGAGGAAGATGCAGACTCACTTCCGCCGAGCATATCCGCCCCACCACTGCCGAGGAGGTTGGGGCACTGCTCGCTATGAAAGGGACGCAACGTGAAGTTGAGCGCCTACTTGATCAAGACCCCGACGCCGACGAGGTCTACGAGGGCGAGGACGACATGGACTACCTCGACGCGGTTCTTGAAGGCGAGATGAGCTGGGACGAAGATGATGCTCCGGAACTTGCCGCCCCGGAGCCTGGTGACGACGACGAAGACATCGTCTTGGAGCCGCTGCCGAACGCTGAGCACCGGCACCTACCTGGACCTAAAAAGACCGCGGCCGCCGACCTGAACCCGGACCGGCATGAGGCGATGATGTTGAAGACACAGCTCACGACGAGGGGCCTCGAGAAGCGGAAGGAGAAAGAGCTCAAATGGTCTGAGATTCCCCCGGAGGTCCACGACAAGTTCCGCGATGCAGAACGAGTTCAATGGGAGGAGCACCTTTCCTTCGATGCCCTTGAGCCCCTCAGCACCGAGGAGAGCGAGAGAGTCCGTCGAGAAGTTCCGGCGGACCGTATCCTACGATGTAGATGGGCCTACAAAGACAAAAATTGGTCTCGGCGACGTGAAGGCGAAGACCTACCATGGAAGTGCAAGTCGAGATTGGTGATAGCCGGCCACACCGACCCCGACTTGGGCAACGAGGACATGAAGCTGAGCACTGACGCGCCCACCTTGTCGAGGAGTGGACTTACGTGTCTGCTGCAGCGAACTGCAGACGGACTACAGGAAAGAGACCCCTGGACTTTGGCAGCCGGAGACATTCGATGTGCGTTTCTCACCGGCAGCTACCTGGACCGCGAGTTGTACATGCACCAGCCGAAGACCGGATTCCCCGGAATGGTTCCAGGACAGCGGGTGAGGATCAAAAAGAATGTCTTCGGGCTTGCTACGAGTCCTCACACTTGGTGGCAGGACCTCCAGGCTGGGATCTTCGACATCGAGCCTGAGTTGCCCTACCTCGACGGGAAGGCCACATACAAGTTCGACCAGTCCCCGATGGACCCGTGCATCTTCATGCTCCGCCGTTGGGAAAACGACGGCTTCCACGGCGAACCTGTGGCATACCTGGGATGCCACGTCGACGACCTGCTTATCGCCGCACCTCGGCGACTACAAGAACTGGTGCAGCAAGCGCTGGCGAAGAAGTTCGAGATACAAACCTGGGAGGTCGACAAGTTCGAGTTCCTAGGCTCCCAGATCTCCGTCGAGGACGATAAGGTGACTATGACACAGGAGAAGTACGCAGAGACCCGGCTCTTCACCCTCGAGATACCTGTTGGGCTAGACGAAGGTGAGCCAGCACCCCCGGACTTGGTGAGCGACAACCGAAGTCTGATTGGTGCCCTCTCATGGATGAGTGCACAGACTCGTCCGGACTTGAACTGTGCCGTCAGTATGGCGCAGCAGTTGCAAAAGTCACCGACGTGCGGCGACCTCAAGTTCACCAACGGCATCGCCGCCAAGGCCTACCAGTTCAGGACACGTGGATTGGAGTTCCGAGCAATACCCGCCGGCAGGCTCATGATCATCGTCTACCACGACGCGGCGTGGGCCAACGTACCGGAGCCAGACCCCGAGGAGAGCTACTACGTCCTGACCGAAGCCGAGAACGAGATCGGAGTGCAGAGAGAAGGCCCATACTCGGCGGGAGCACAGCGGAAGGCGAAAAAGGGGAACTCGAGAGTGGCTTCGCAGTTGGGGATCCTCGTGACCTTTGCGGACCGCATGGCACTGTCTGGGCAAGCGGGAGTCTGCAACGTGGCAGACTGGAGGTCACGAGCTGGACAAAGAGTGTGCCGAAGCACGTTCGGCGCGGAGACACAGGCCTGCGCGGAAGGACTCGAGACTGGGCAGTACCTTAGGTCGATGTATGAGTCACTGATCAGAGGGAAGATGGTGACGGTCGAGGCCGCTCAGCTCCCCATCCTCTGCTTGAGCGACTGCCGGTCTTTGTATGACCACCTCAACAGGCAAGGGGTCCCGAGAGTGCCAAGCGACAAGCGCCTGGCAGTGGACCTGGCAGCCCTACGTCAAGGACTGAAAGCCGAAAAGTGGGGCGAGAATCTCCCCATAGCCTGGATTCCCGGCACCCTTCAAAGAGGGGACATTTTGACGAAGCCACAGAACCCATCCGATTGGTGGGAAGCAATGGCAACTTCACTTTTATTGCCTCTTTCAATCGGGCAAGAAGGGGTTCCGATCAATAACAGAAGGATCGGAAACAGAACCAGTGTGAAACTTGATGGAGTTTGTAGTTGCAACGATGTCTTTCCGTATGAGTACTGCATATCGTGATGTCGCACTGGTCTCTGCTGCCCCGGTAGAATGATGTTCGACTCGCAAAGCCTACCGAAGGCATTCTGGCGCGAAGTGGAAAACACGTCATTCGACGGGCAGGCCGGTTCGGGAGGGCTTTTGTGGTAGGCCCCTAGGGTAGAGCCCCTCTCGAGCGTCTTAGTTTCACACTAAACCCTATGTAAACCCCTCTAAATTCTAAAGCCAAAACCCCAAAACCCTAGACCCTAAACCCTAAACGCAAAACCCCTAAACCCTAAACCCTCTACTAGTAGGGTCGATGACCCTAAGTTTCGGGTCCTGGGCTGGGCTTCGGGCAGCAGCTCGAAACAACTCGGGCTATGGACTGCTCTTACATCACGGCATCTCACTATCGCTCTCTCTCTCTCTCTCTCTCTCTCTGTTTCTCTCTGTCTCTTTGTCTCTCTGTCTGTCTGTCTCTCTCTCTCTCTCTATCTCTATCTATCTCTCTCTCTCTCTCTCTCTCTCTCTCTCTCTCTCTATCTATCTATCTATCTATCTATCTCTCTCTCTCTCTCTCTCTCCCTCTCTGCCTCTCTCTCTCTCTCTCTCTCTCTCTCGCTCGCTCTCTCTCTCTCTCTCTCTCTCTCTGTTTCTCTCTGTCTCTTTGTCTCTCTGTCTGTCTGTCTCTCTCTCTCTCTCTCTCTATCTCTATCTATCTCTCTCTCTCTCTCTCTCTCTCTCTTTATATACATGTGTATATGTATGCATGCTTATACATGTACATATGCATATAAACAGCTGAATATATACGGTTTGGTCATGTCTTTCTTCAGAAGTTAACCAGTTGTGAGATCAGGGGACGTAGTAAGAGGAGATAAGTAGTAAGAAAAGATGAGGTTCTTTAAGGGTTTATGGGTCAACCCCATCATATTGAAGCCCTAACCTCAAAGCTTTGGGGCTCTTCCGGTGGTTTATACGGTGAATACAAGATACCCCCAAAGCCTACAGAGAAGTCTCATGATGGACCTGTGAAGACCGTGGCGGGACCTGAGAACGAAAGCACTCACCAACACCCAAACCCTAAACGTAACTGAAACGTAAACCGTAAACCAAAGCCCAAAACCGAAGCTTCTGAAATTACAAAGTGTCTAGGAAAAAGCCTACGCCCCAAACCGAAGCTTCTGAAATTACAAGGTGTCTAGGAAAAGGCCTACGCCCCAAACCGAAGCTTCTGAAATTACAAAGTGTCTAGGAACCTGCGGTGTTCTGGTGTCGACGATGGCCGCATCTCTTATGACCTGCCGGTCTCCGATAGTTTGGAGGCCGCATTGGGTTCCTCTTAGAGTTCTTTCTCAAGGGCTGTCAGGGTACTATACGGGCCTGTATGCGGGCCTTATATAATGAAGAACCTATTTTTTCGTGTATCATAGCATGTTTATATGGGGACCAGAACGGGTGATATTATTGCCAAGTACTTAGATATGTATCTGAACACCTAAGCAACGCAAAGTCCTTTCATGAAATTATCCCTTGAATCGCGTTAATCATCCCTCCACAGTTTAAGGTATAGTCCTCATCCAAGAAATTTTGGGCTCTCTACGCAGAAGTCTGTGGATTTTGCCTGCAGTCGAGGAACCCCTCGCGACTAAACCCGCCACGAAACCCCCACCAAGACAGCATCAAACCCAGGCAGTGGCACCTAAACCTATCCCCAGTTAGAAGGAAACGGGGTTTTGGAGATTTGGGTTTAGAATTTTGGGCATAGAATTTTTAGGGTGTGGGGTTTGGGGTTTGAGGTCTAGGGCATCTTTGATCTGTTGGACAGGACCTGGAGGCCCTTCCGTGGGTTCGGCTACTTGCTCCTGGAATGGGCTCTGGTGGACGGCACGCCTTGCGAGCGCAGAGCATCTTGCACCCAGAGAGCCCAATATCCCTTAGTTAAGGAATATAGCTTAAATCACAATAAGAATAGGCCCCTACTTGTTTGAGATATACTCCTGAATCAACCCCAAGGGTCCAAGTACCTAATAATCATACACTCTCCAAAACCCTAACCTACATAACTACTATCCTAAAACCGAGTACCTAATTATCGGGTGCTTTGGACCCTTGGGGAAAGGGGTATTGGGCTTTGTTTGGGCATCGCAAGTGACGGATTCTTCCTTCAGCCTGGAACACTGGAACGCGAATCCTGAGCTCGAAACTTAGGGTTTAGGGCTTAGGGTTTAGGGCTTAGGGTTTAGGGCTTGGGGCTTAGGGTTTAGGGTTTAGGATTTAGGGCTTAGGGTTTAGGGCTTAGGGTTTAGGGCTTAGGGTTTAGGGTTTAGAATCCTCAAATGGGAGTTTCCGAACATAGGGGACCCTTATGTAGCACCCTAAATAGTAGGGGGTTCCTTTCCTTACTAGAATCTCACTATACTATACCCCCCCAACCCTATTCGAACTATTAAGGCCACTAAATGGGAGTTTCCGAAAGTAGGGGACCGTAATATAGGTAGTAGGATCCTTATTATAGGGACCCCAAAGTAAGGTACCCCGAATTATCGAAAACCCATCCCCTCATCTCCACACTGAAAACCCTACTCGGGCCCTAAACATCTCGACAACACCCCTATAAGACTCCTTGTTATACGTGGAGGGTCCAGGGGTAGTTATAAGTAAGGTTATAAGTGGGGTAGTTATACTTATAACCCATATTAGGGGACCTATAACCCTACTTATAACTACCCCTGAACCTCCAAGTAGGGTCCTAAATAGTTAGAAGGGCGTACCTTCGTGAGTAATTATTACAGGGTTTCGGAATCATAATAAGGAACACCAAAATAGTAATTGGTAATTATTAAGGCCCTGTAGTACCCCAAAAGCCTACACAACCCTGTAAGAACCTTCATAATAGCGCGGTATATAAGAACAAGCAAGAGCAACAAATGCCGTGATAAAGAGCCCTAGACCCTGAACCCTAAACCCTAAACCAAAAGCCCTAAACACCAAACCCTAAACCCTAAGCCCTAAACCCCAAACCCTAAATAACCCTAAACCAAAAGCCCTAAACCCCAAACCCTAAGCCCTAAACCCCAAACCCCAAACCCCAAACCCTAAAACCAAAGCCCCAAACCCCAAACCCTAAAACCAAAGCCCCAAACCCCAAACCCTAAAACCAAAGCCCTAAACCCCAAACCCTAAAACCAAAGCCCTAAACCCCAAACCCTAAAACCAAAGCCCTAAACCCCAAACCCTAAAGGCCCGAAACCCTAAGCCCTCCTGGTGGAAGTGCTCCGACGCCAGCATCCCGCGATGCTCCACGCAGGGCAGATACACGAGGCTATACCTGGCAGATTGGGGGTTTCCCAGAGAGCCCAATATACGGTTGATGATAGAAATCCTGCATTATCCATAATAAGGAATACATGAAAATTATGGTATATTCCTTAATATGAGTCATGCAGGATTTATATCATCAACCGTAGTATCCCCTTAATTAAGGGATATGGGCGGTTGTCAAAGTTAGGGTCCCTTTCTGGGTACCCCACTTGTTAGGTGCCGAATTATATTAAGGACCCCAAAAAGGGACCCTAATTTTGACAACCACCCCATTAAGGAAAATAGCTTAATATCATAGTAATAAGCCCCCAATAATATGGTATTGAGCTCTCTGGCTTTGGGGTGACGGTTTGCATTTTTTGAACACCCATTTGGGCGTTTCCGAAAATAAGGGACCCTAATATAGTACCTAAATATTAAAGGACCCCAAAATAAGGTACCCCTAACTTTCGGAAACTCCCATCTGTCCCAGCTGAGGGCTTAGGGTTTAGGCCTGATGGTTTAGGGTTCAGGCTTTAGGGGATGGTTCCGGCTAAGTGGCTGTCCGTGCCGCTCGAAGGTTTAGGGTTTACGGGTTTAGGGTTTAGGGTGCAGGGGTTCTGAAACCCTGGAGGAAGCTCCGGAAAGTTTAAGCTTTTACATGGTGGTTGTCAGAATTATGGTCCCTTTTTGGGCACCCTAAATATTAGGTGCCGTACTCTAATAGGGACCTAAAAAGGGACCATAATTTTGACAACCACCCACATGAGGGACCTGAATGATTTTGAATCGGGTGTTGGGGTATACTGAAATACATTAATGTAATGAGTGGATACTATTCTGAATATTTCGAGCCTCAGATTACACCGTGACTACACAGTTGTTGCAGAGCGCCGCGGGGCTTTGACAAGACTTTGAAGCCAAACCTACAGCACTTTCGCAGAAGCCCAAAGCGCTAAACCGCAAGCCCGAAACCGCAAGCCCCAAAACCCTGAACTCCAAGGGAAGTTTAGGAACTCGAAGAACTACCTATGCAAACTTCAAGGGCTCTCTACTCTGGGTTCGACATTTGTCATAGGGCCCGCAGGGGGGGAGGCGGGGGGCAGTGTAGTCCCCTACCCCGCTCCCCCTTTCCCCCCGTAAGGGTCCTTGTTAAATTGAGGCATGCGCCTGAGGGTTTTTCCCATTGTTGCCGCCTCGGCCCCTTATCTTCGGTGAGACATGACATGCTGAGGCTTTTTGGGCTTTGTGCTGTGGGGATCAACCCTATACTATATAATCCCGAACCCTAAACCCTAAAACCCAAACCCGAAACCCCAAACCCTAAACCCCGAACCCTAAACCCCAAAACCCTAAACCCTCTAAACCCCAAACCCCTAAACAATCATCCTTAAATCTACGAAACCCAAATGCTGCCCGAGGCACTCCGTGTCGCGACGGACCCAGGACCGACACTGGTCCAGGCTTGCCAAGGGGACCACGCCGTCTCCGCTCCTGGGCGCCATGCGCGCCTTAAGGGATCCCTAAACCCCAAGGCACCCCAAAAAGGAACCTTTAAAGGAGGCCCCTACAAGAACCCCGTGAAGGATCCCTAAACCTAAAACCTAGCCCAACGGATCTGCAAAAGGGCTTAGGGTTTGTTGTTCAAGTTTGAGGGTCGAGGGTTTGGGGTTCAAGTCTGTTTTGAAATCCTTTTCTATGAATCGCCCAAACGTCCCGAGAGGTCTAGGGTTCGGGGGATTAGCATGGGGTGGGGTTTATACACCTTCTGGCTTGGGCCGGGTTTAGGGCTCAGGCCGGACGTGCTAAAAAGGCTTCATTCCGTGGGCCAACCATCACTGCGGCATGTAGTCTGTAGGGGCCCTGGCTGCGCTCCGTGTGCCATCCGGGCCTCCCTGGCTGCACTGTGGTGTCCCGCATGACACACATGTCTTAATGGTGGACATAGGGTTTAGGGTTTTTTAGGGTTCAAACACAACCATGAATTTGGGCAGCCGCTGCAAGGGCACGAGACACAGGTCGATGGATTGACCATGTGCATTTGCACCTCCCATGGTATGGCTTAATAATTAAATCATATTAGGGATCCTACTATAATTTAAGGTACATTCCTAAATTAAGGGATATTTTGAGTGGCGCCGAAAGGTTGTCAACGTCAAAGTCGGAGTCCGAGTCTTTATTGTCCGCCGCACCCTACGGTCCGCATCCAGACATGCAGACCGCGAGCCTGGCGACAATCGGCTATAATACACAGGTGCATGGCCGCGGCCGATGAACGCCGGCACAGGGACACAAGACACAAAACTTCTAGCCGTTGGATGGCGTTCGCATCTCGGCAGCTGAATTCTCGTCCTCACCAGCTGAGTTGCGGGTGTAAGGTAGAATCATACCCATCCAGCAGTGTGAGCAAGCAATGAGTCCAATGAAGAAGAGGCCCTTCGTCTTACAGCATTGCCCTAGCACCCTTTGCGTCATTCAGGCGCTGGGGATCCCAGAATGATTTGAGGTCTAGGATGCGGGGTACGACGTTTAAGATCCTGCAAAATCTCCAGAACTGGCTGGAACTAAGCGCAGACCGGCTCACGAACCTCACAGCCTCAGGCCTACAGGGAACTCCAGAAAGTTGGAATATGGTTTCATGGTAGGATACCCTATAATTTACCATAGACGGGTTAGGACAATCATGTTCCAACTTTTTGGCTTTTACCTTGGGAGGGTTGAAAACTTCTTGCAGGTGGCACTTTGCTTTGATAGTTCTGGTACGCTTGAATCAGATATTTCGCTTCAAAAATCGAAACATCAAATCTGGTTATGTTGAGGGTTCCTGTAGTTCCTATATTCCGATATCGGCACGGTAGCTGCTTCGAGTCAGAGAATGGGCCAGCGGCTTCGGCCAGGCCTGACCCGAGACCCCCCAAACCCTAAAATCCGAACCCAAAACCCCAAACCCTGAACTCCGAACCCACAACCCCAAACCCTAAACACGGAAACCACGACCGAAACACTGATCCCAAAACCCCAAAACCTAAACACGGAAACCACGACCGAAACACTGATCCCAAAACCCCAAAACCTAAACACGGAACCCAACCCCTTAAACACCCAACAAGGCGGAACATCTGCATCGACCAGGAATTTCGGTTTCAGGCACAACAACTGCGAGGTTCGAGAACAGAGTGTTCACGAGGGTTAGTGACTAAGGGGGCTATTAGGAGTTTATGGTTTAGGGCTGAGGGCTGGGGAATCTGGATTTGGGCCGGAGGAATGAGTGCTCCCAGAGACTCCTATATCCCTTAACTAAGGAGTATTCCCTAAATCATATAGGGATCCTACTATAATTTGCGGTATTCTCCTTAATTAAGGGATATTGGAATCTCTGGGTTTAGGCGTTGGGTGGAAGGCCCGAACTCCAAAGATGATCACGAGAGTCCTAAGCCACCAAGACACGGCGACGCGGCAGATCCACACGCCTTCCCAGACCGCCCGGGAGGACCTAATCCCTATAGATCCCTTTAAAGAAACCCTATATGAGTCCTTAGATCCCTAGGGTTATAGGAAAACTCATAGGACCCTTGCCCGGGAGGATCCTCAAAGTAGATCCCCCAATTTGGGGCCCTATACTACTAAGGATACTTTATAGGAACCTTCCTTAAGGGATCTACTTTTTGGATCCTCCCGGGGGTCTGGGTTCAGGCGGTCAACGATCCGCACATGACTGGCACAAAAATCTACAACGAGCCCTGACTTCCGCTCCCCAATTAAGCCCAAACCATGGAGCGCTGCACTTAACTCCCAAATAGCAAATTCGAAACCTCTAAAAGCAGCCAAAACTACATCCTACACCGAAACTCCGGCGGCGATATTGAACCAACCAAGTCGGCTATGACCTACGCTGCGAGCTACTAAACCCCTTACTCCTACTACCGATGCCCCCGCAGGATAGCTTCACTGTACATCCTAGAGCCGAAAAACCTTCTGGAACCCTTGCGCAGGCCCTGTACAGGAAGGCCCTTTGAAGGAGCTTTTGAATGGAGCCGTTTAGAGGAACCTTAAAACTGCAAATCCTACAGAAAGCCTGAAACCCCATAGATTCCACAGCAGCCCGCACAAAATCGCGCTCAAAGGAGCCCTTAACCCCAACCACATCCCAGACCTCAAGCCCAAGCCCTAAACAACACGCCGAGCCCCAAAACTGGACCCCAAGCCCTGAACCCTAAGAGCCCTAAACCCTTTCCTTTAAAGGAACCCTTACAGGAGCCCTTACAGGAGCCCTCAAAAGGAACCCTCAAAAGGAGACCTCGAAAAGGAACCCTTAAAGGAGCCCTCAAAAGGAGCCCTCAAAAGAAACCCAAAAGGATCCCTTAAAGGAACCCTTCCTTGTAGTACCCTTATAGCACCCTTGAAGGATCCCTTAAAGGACCCCTCAAAGGAACCCTGAAAGGACCCCTTAAAGGAACCCTTCCTAAACCCAAAAAGGAGCCTCGGGCCTTGACCAGACCTGACTCCAGCTTCGCACCCTCGGGGGACTCCTCCAGGGACCCTTAATTTAGGGCTCTTACAGTTCCTTAAAGGGATCTATAAGGGTTCCTTAAAGGGATCTATAAGGGTTCCTTAAAGGGATATATAAGGGTTCTACAAAGGGTTTAGGGTTTAGAGTTTCCGAAAATTCGGGGTACCTTATTTTGGGCTATTTGCGGTACTATTGGGCTATGTGCGGTACTATATTATATTAACATCCCCTATTGTCGGAAACCCCCCTATAGTGGCCTTAATAATTCGAACAGGGTTGCGGGGGTATAGTTTTGTGAGATTCTAATAAGGAAAGGAACCCGATACCCAATTCTAATTTATTGAGGCCCCTACATACGGTTGATGATATAATTCCTGCATGACCTTAAGACCCTAAACCATGGGAATTATGGCATATTCCTTAGTGTGGGTAATGCAGGATTTATATCATCAACAGTATGAAGCTCCTTCTAGGGCTAGAGAAGGTTTAGGGTTTGGAGCCTGCAGGGCTTAGGGCTATAAGGGCTACGAAGCTCATTTCGGGTTGTACAGGCGGTTGAGGGTTTCGGGTTTAGGGTAGTAGTACAGGATGTACAAGGGGGTTGTAGTGAGCGCTTTTCGGGTGGTTTCATGGGTTCACTTCAGGGCTCGAAAAGGGTTCAGGGTGGTTTGAAGGGGTCGTGCTTGAGAACCCTTGAAAGCTGCTACGACCCTTTAAACCAGGCACCCCAGAGGATTCAGGTTTAGGGCGAAGGGTCTCAAGGGTTCCTGAAGAAGGGTCTCAGAACGATTTAAGGGTTCCAGCCTTTCGAGCCTGGAGGTTCCGAAACCTTGCAAACGAGTTGTGTAAGCTTCTGAACATGGCTTTGGGGCTTTGGGTCGAGGGGTTCAGGGTTCAGGCTCCCGAGTAAGAGTCCTACCCACCTTTATCCCAACTTTTGAAGTCAAACAGTCCTTGAGCACCGCCTCGCCATCGAAAGCCAGCCGCGTCAGCACCTTGGAGGCTGGGGGGAGGGGGGGTGGGAGTAGGGTTTAGGGATCTAGAGGGGAAAGTAGATCCCCTAGTATGGGGCCCTATACTACTAACTTTAGCGGAAACCCCCATTAAGGGATCTACTTTTTGGTGAAGGCAAAGATTAATCTCGAAAAGATCCTGTACAACGTGTGGCTTTACCGGGTGTTTATACGCTTACTGGTTGCTATAGGGCTATGGAGCTGTGTATAATGGGGTTCTATAAGAGTCCTATATTGACGTTCAGGTTTCAGACTTCAGGGCTCTCACCTACGGACCCTAAACATCTTTACTTTACCCTAAACCCTAAACCCTGAACCCCAAATCCAAGCTTACTTCACCCAAGCTTGAGAGTACCGGAAGCGAAGCGCTTCCTCGACCATCCTAGGGTTTCGGATGGGTTTGGTTTGGGGTTCCGGGCTTAGGGCTTCGTGTTACCACATGCGGCGCATTGCGCCCGACCGAAGCAAGACGCCGTCGATATTGATAGCTGTGATCACTGGTCTCAAAAAGTACACATGGAAAGCCTGCAGAGTCACCTATCTTTGACGTCGCCTGCCCGGCACAAGTCAGACCTTCCCCCCACAACTGTGAATGAAGCATACAAGCTGTCCAGCTGCTGTCTAAGAATCTTGCAACATTTCATCCGCAGGTCTTTACAAAACATCTAGCCTGATCCTTGTGAGATTCGGGAGGCTCCTCTCGGGTGCAGGGCTTAAAAAATGGGGTCTTAACACTCGGAGTGGGGTTTTGGGGCCCATTGTACTACAATTAAGAAAAGGAACCTCCCGAACAGTATAGGTAATTATTAAGGCCCCTAGAGTAGGGTTTCAGGTTTGGGTGTCCGATTGCGTCGTTTTCCGAAGATTTGAGGCGAGGGAAGTTTAGGGTGGGGGGACCTGAGGATTCACAGAAAGCATTTACGTGCAGGCATTGATATACATAGCGGCTTACAGTCGCTGGGTTAAGGTTGTACTTCGGCTGGTGGTAAAAATCCTGCATTACCCAGAATAAGAAATATACGATAAATCCCATAAAGGTAATGCAGGAGTTATATCATCAACTGTAGCCCCTAGGAAGGCTTTTGGAAGCCCAAGAGCTCACACGAAAAACCGGCTTAGGGAACCCGAAAACTTAAATCTCGGGGTTTAGGGTTTAAGGTTAAACCCTAAACCCTAAACACTTAACCCTTCAACCCTAGACTCTGAATCCTGAAACCCTTATTACCCACGAAAACCCAACCAACCCCCAACTGGCTATCTGGACACCCGGCCCGTACCCAGAGACTCCAATACCCCTTGATTAAGGAAGATACCTTAAATCATATTAGGGGCCCTACTATAATTTTAGGTATATTCCTTAACTAAGGGGTATTGGAGTCTCTGGGTATCCGCCTGCATCGACCTTCTGCACATGCCCCGTACGTAGAGCCCCTCAATCCGAACACACGAAAACCCTAACGTAAAAGCCAGAAAGTTGCAATATGATTATCATAACCCCCTTAAGGTAAGTTATAGGGGATCCTACCATTAATCCATATTCCAACTTTCTGGAGTTCCCTTTAGCACTAAATCCACCCTGAGCCTCTAAGTGGGTGGTTGTCAAAATTATGGTCCCTTTTTGGGTCCTTATTATTATTCGGCACCTAATATTTAGGGTACCCAAAAAGGGACCTTAATTTTGACAGCCACCCAAGTAAACCACTCACCCTAGAATCTCGCACAACTTTGTAAAGAACCCTCCACCACCCCTGTAAGAACGACCCTAAACCCTAAACCGGAACCCTCTACCCTCGACCACCCCTGTAGGAACCTTGGAGCGCTTCAGACGTACGGTGGCCACGCGCACTGCATAGGCCTCGCCAAGCTATGCCTAGAGGCCCGGGGAGCTTAGCAAGTAGTAAGGTTCCTTGAAGAGTTCCTTAACAGGGATCTACAAGGGTTCTATAAGGGGATTAGGGTTACTTAGAGGCCCAGGAAACTTAGTAAGTAGTAAGTAAGGTTGTAATTGGGGTAACTCCATTTAGGGTACTTATGACCTGAGTTCTTACAAAGTCCCCTGGACCTCTGAGTCCCTTTCGGGGTTATCCTCATTATAGCCCTACGTACTTATTTAACTTCATAGTCATATATCAACATATATCATAGTCATATATTATAGTTATAGTATTATAGACTTATATTATAGTTATAGTATTATAGACTTATATTGGCCTACTTGTTAAGTTGCTTGATCCTTCAAGCCTGGGCGGAGTAGGTTTGCGGGTAGGCGGAGATGCGCACTGCTCCGTTCTTGTTTAGGATCGAAGTGGAGGAGGATGCTGGCCACTGGCCTACACCTAAACCGTCACCCGAAACTAAACGATGCAAATGAAACTCTCGCTATAACCCTACACCCGAACCCGAAACCGATCCTCCTGCCTCTTCCGTGGGCATGTTCACACCATGGACCGCAAGCAGCCTTTTGATTGGAATCGAAGTCCTGCATGTGAAAGAAGCGATTCCGAGCTTGATGTCGAGGGCTTGACAAGAAACCCAAACAGAATAAACCCAGAGACACAAAACACAAACCCTAGAACTAGACTGCCAACACTCAAAGTTCCAAGAGTCGAACCAAATGCTCAAGCCCATCATCCTAAAGCCTAATCGGCTCTGCCAGTGCCAAAAACTCCAGCACAATGCAGCACCGGAGTCCTATCACCACGAAAATCGTACAGGGAATCGTCCCTGTAATGAGTTTCCAAGGTCTTCTGTATGCCCTCGCACTTCTCAATACCTCGGATCTGGAATCGCTCGCGGAGGGAAGATCAAACAAAAACGCGATTTGTTCTGGTGCAATATTTCGTGTAGGCCACAAAATCCGAGCTAGCTGACTGAAGAACACTTAACGAAACTCTGAACCGCAAAATAACCTTGAACCACAGACTCTCACGAATGTAGGGCCTTAGCAAAAAAGAACAAAGTTTTGGGGGATCTTACAGCAAACAACAAATCAAAGATGGAGCCCTACGGAATAGTATTCGTAATTGGTCAGGCTTCTATACTAAGCAAGGAAGTCCAGTTGCGCAGCAGACCGCGTAAATCCAGCGGCTCGTAGGCAACGCCTGAGCGACTACCGTGCCGAAAGGGAGATTCCGTCTCTGCCGGTGCCACATTCCTCGGCTCCGATCTGTCGAGGCTTCAGGGTTAAGGGGTTTAGGGTTTAGGATTTAGGGGTTTGGGGCTTAAGGGTTTAGGGTTAAGGGGTTTAGGGTTTAGGGGTTTAGGGGTTTAGGGTTAAGGGGTTTAGGGTTTAGGGTTTGGGGTTTCGGGTTCAGGGTTTCGGCTGCTAGGTTCAGGATTGAATGTTCAGGGTCAGTACTGAACAGCCTGTGTATCTGAGCAGCTACGTTCCCGCCCTGATGCGGGGGCCTTCATCGTTGGAGTAGGGTTTTGGGGCCGATGATACTATAACAAAAATACTAGTAATAATCATAATAAGAAAAATAATAAGGAACCCCCAAAATAGTATTATTTAGGCCCCCTTATAGTAACACATAGTAACGCACAAGAGCAGGAAGGATCCCATGACCGGCCACGTGTCGACTTGCCGATCCACTCCGTCTTCAGCTTGGCATAATCTAGCCTTGGCCGTTGAGGGTTTGGGATTTAGGCTGAAGGCGTATTACCCTAGGGATCTAAGGACTCATATATAGGGTTCCTTTAAAGGAATCTATAGGGGTTCCTTTAAAGGGATCTATAGGGGGTCCTTTAAAGGGATCTATAGGGTTTAGGGTTTAGGGATCTAAAGACTCATATATTATGGCTTTTGGGCCCAAGGACCATACTATCTATGGCTTTTGGGCGATTTTGATCCCTCGGGCTAGGGTTGAGGTCTTAAGGGGCTTTGGGATTAAGGATAAGTCTCTGCTGAAAACTAACCTAGAGGTCCTCCATCACCTATGCTTCTAACACAGGGGCCTAAATAATTACCAATACTATTGCTAGGGCTCAGAACACTCCGCAGCGGAGACTGTAGGAGATTGCTGTGGCCCCAGCACAATTAGTGCGACGAAGCCTCTCCGTTCCCCGGCGTGGCATCGCAGACACAGAGCCCAGCGTGCAACAACCAGGCACCGGTTGAGAGCCGGGCAGCCGGTTTCTTCTCGCAGGCTCAAACACCTGCAAAATCACCACGCTACTGCTCCGCAATATCGTCGGGTGATTTCTCGTATGGGCAAAGCAGGAAAGCCATGGCGAACAGGAAAGGGTGCCGAGGAAGAGGAGCCCTACTCCTGGCGCTACTGGCGTGGGCCCTGGCGGCAGGCAGCGGACGACTCCGGCTGGTATGCAGGGGCAGTGACACCCCGATTTCCAGCCTACGATGCAGTCGGAACCAAGGGCACCGCCAAGGGATCTGCACCATCTACGAGAGTGGAGACAACCAAGGATCCGGAGTCTATGCTGGTGAAGGCCTTGCAGGACAACATCAACCAGGCCAGAAAGGCAGAGCAGAGAGTACGCACTCTTCTTGCAACAAGGAACAAGAAGCAAGAGATGTGGCTCACCTTTCTGGACGGGATGAAGCAAGCGTACCTGCAGGAACTAGCCAGGCACCAAAAAGATGTCGCCAAACTGGACACAGACCTCGAGACGGCTCTGGCTGTTCAGGAACAGGCGAGACAGCAGCTCCGGGTTATTGTCACCGCAGGACCGGAACCAGTACAAGACGCTCAGGCCATGCAGGATGCCGAGTGGGAGGAGCTGCAGCAGACGTGGCAGCAAGAGCAGACACAAGTGGAGGATGCAGGCTCCGTCTTACAGCGAGCCCTGAGTGCATGTGGGCTCGACCATCAGAAGCTGATAGCAGCCACCAGTCGAGTGTCGCAACTGCAAGCCGCACCGAGGTATGCAGTGCCGGAAGGGTGTATTCCCAGCGATCCCTTTCAGTTGTCACCGACGGCAACTGGACCGCCCGGACTTTCATCTCGGGCGACTACTCCTCTCCGCCTGAAGCACACGACGGACAAGGGTCACCGAGCTCCCATCAAGCCGGTGGTGACGCCTTCTCCGAAGACACCGGTACCCGAAAAGTCGTTACATGCGAAGCTGGAAAAGGCCCGCGAGGCGGCAGCAAGAGACGAGGGTGTGGCGATGAGGCCGTTTGGTGTGAGACCACCAGCCGGCACGGAAGGTGGTGCTCCAGCAGTGGAGCCCAAGCCACCGGAGACCGTGGACGTCGATCAGGAGACGGAGGCGAACAAAGCAGGACTGCATCACATGGGCTAGCATCGGCGCAGCCGGCTACCATGCCGGCTCCCACGGGAAGCTGCAGGAATACTTTCACGGCCACTGACAGGTATGCAGACCCTTGTCTGAGAGCGCCCTCTCTGGGGAGCCGGTTGGATTGGAGGACAAAGGGGCACATGGGGTATGCCGCTCTTTTGACCTCCATCCGACAGTTGCACCTCGGATTGAGCAGGTACTCAGACTCGGTTCGTGCATGCCAAAACGATGAGCAGCGTGAAAGACCCTTGTACAGTCCAGTTTCCGGTAGTGATTTTGTACAAAGTAGTGCCAGGAGCCCCAACTGCGAATGCCTCAGTCCCCACTGTTCACTCCTCGCCCAGCAAATGTGGCAAGCCACGAAGGTGCAATTTTGGCAGTCGTCCAGCACCGCATTGGACCCACCCTTTCGGTTTCGGTTTAGGCCCGGCCCGCCTCTAGGAGACAAAAGTGCTACGCCAGAAGTGCTCATGTCTGAGCTTACCTGGAACATCCCAACAGGGCAAGTGTGCAATGGCGCCACTTTTGGCAGCCTCACCACCCACAGTAGCAGTGCTGTCGTTTCGTCAGAGGCCCCAGCCGAACCTACCTACTGTGCTGTCAACTGTTGGTGGCAGTTACTTCTTTGGCTTCAGCAACAAGCATGGTCCTGCCTGGTCCTACAAGTCTTGGGCTCCATGGTTGTGATAACGAGCCTGCTCGCTAAGGCGTACTTTAAAGGCAGTTTCTGTAGCCGCAGCGGGGTACCTCAGGTAGTTCGTGCGCTGGCAGGTTTCTGCAGAAGTAGGGCTGTGACCACCAGGCCAGAACACAGGCAGCGACAAGGGGTTGCCAAGACATCAGAGATCAAGCGGCGCTCTGACAAAGATAGGCATCAGCAACTTGGTAGGCTTTCACGTTGGTGTGTTCCTCTCTTTCTGTGGAGTCAACCGAAGCAGATTTTCTCCTGTCAATCAGAGGCCGCTTTGCTTACGATTCTCTGGGCACAATATGTCGTACCAGGAGTGGCCATGCAGCACGAGGATCCGCAGGACTTCGCAGATTATGAGTCAGCCTTTCCTGCGGGCATTCCGCCCTTGCTCACAGTTGAAGGTCTGTCACAAGGGAGCTACTCCTTTGCAGATGGCCCGCTACCCACGGGCGTGCAAGACATGGATGCACAGGGGTGGCCAGCGAGGTTCAGTGCCAATGGGCACAATGATGTCCACCTTGATAGCCTGGATGTCCGCAGGCTGCCTGATGAGGATTTTACACGGAGTTCAGCAGCCAACAGCGGCGAATGGCTAGGGGTCATAGTCATGGCGCCGCACTGTCAGCCCACCGAATGGGCTATGAAAATTCAGCGAGGTCAAGGGGAGGATCATTTCCTTAGTAGTGTGTTAGACCTGGGGCCAGCCCTCTACCAAGGTCTCTTCGACACTGTGGTGCCGATAGTGCCCCAGCGACATACAGGATATGCCATGGTCATGGTGTTTGGCAGCGTAACTGCACATATTGGACCATCGGGGCATGTCCCGGTCATCCTGGACCTTAGTCATGTTGGGGGGCACTATTATGCTACAGTGTTGCCGACCTCGATGGCTTATGAGGACCTGTGGGACTATATCCTACCACAGACCTGGGCAGACTTTGACGATTTCCAGATCTATGTCGGTTGTGCTCCGAACCCCTGCAGGGAAGGTGCACAGATCAGGTTGCAGGCAGGGGATGTCATCTTGGCTCAGGCTCCTTCCAGGCCGCCTCCAGTGCACCGGTACCTGAATCAGCTCTTTCAACCTGGGGTGCAATGGGGCAGAGTTATGCACATACCGCGTCATGTCCTCACACCAGGGTATAGCGTGGCTTTTGACCGGAGGCGTTACGTGTTGCACCAACACCTTGCAGGAGCCCCCGGTGTCAGAGAGGCAGTTTGTCACATGTTGCAGCGCGACCCAGACAGCCTCACCATGTACATCCATGATGAACCCAGGGATTTGGACGTTCAGGGAAATCCGTGTGCCGCCGTTATCTCGGTTGTCAGTTTGCCGAGACCGCGAGCAACATGCCCAGTTAGCAGTCAGAGACGTGATGTGTTTGTGCTTTGTGACTTACGGGCCTTTGGGATCAGGCCCTTGGCGTACCATTCACATTCCCTTCATGTACATGTGCCCAGTGTTCTTGCGCTCGCCAGATTGAGTGTGCCCTTTGGGTATAACCTAGGGGTCGAAGGCGGGTTGATAATGGGCTCAGAAGTTTGGGTGCCTGGTAGCACAACGTTGGTCTTCCGTCTCAGTCTCGCTGAACCCAGTGCCTCCTTATCCGCAGACTTTGCTGCTACTTCCAACGTTGTGGAACAAGAGGCACCGAGCGAAGACATGCACACAGGCCCTGATACGCCGCAAGCCTCCGCAAGTGCAGCTACAGGTGATGTTACTAGGCCAAGACCTGTTGAGGCAAAGGGACCGGATCAGCCGCGCCTGCATGACGTCCTACAGGATCCCACACTGCGTGAGGCACAACGCACAGCAACGGAGCACCTCACTCCAATGCAAGGAAGGCAGCCAGCGCATGGTCACGCAGTAGACCTTCATCAGGAGCCACCTGCTTTGGAGCTCCTTCCCGTAGGTGTGACCATGGTTCAGGCTACCTTTTTAATACTTGTGCCGCATCATTGCCCTGAAATACTGCACCGCGTGCTGACCATTCCAGCAGAGCCAGCGCAGGTTTTACAGGATGTTGCCGATCATAGGTTGCCAGGTTTGCAAAGGAGGTTTCCACAACTTGCGGCAGTCAGACCACAGCTTACTGCTGCGTACGCTACCCTGATTGCCAGGCCTATATGGCCAAGCGAGGAAGTCGTCGTTGTTTTCGACTGTCGCGCCTACAATGGCGTGGTATATGCTGAAACAATAGCTCGCACTGTGCGCAGGACAGACCATTGGAGCACGACCAAGAAGTCAGTTTGGCCCATGGCCAGGTCATAGCATTTGCTTTGCATGGTGCACCACCAGCCTGGGGACCAGACTTTCCGGCCATGCTTCGCAGCGGGGACGACTGGGACTCAGACACAGCCCTACCAGGGCATCATGACCCGGCCCTCTGGCTTCTAGGGGACACAGAAGCGCAGCGGTTCCCTTTGGACCAGGAGCGTGGCCTGTTTTTACGTAGGGATGTGGCGGAGTTTCTCAGTTATGACCCACAACGCACCACCCTGCGTGGAGCAGAGCCCCAGATTAGGGATCATGCTGATAAAGGTTGGTTATCTAATGCGGTACTAGTTGCCACCCAAGCCCTGACCGCGACCTGCAACCACGCCGGTTGTTGTGTTTGACCTTAGGCCTGTCCTTCTGGACCTAGAATGGACTCTGATGCCCACAGCCAGTCCTCGTCTTCGGGAGCTAATGGTGAGGTTAAGGCCCCGATGTCCTGATGGTTACCATGTGTCCATTTCAGGGGGCCAGCCGTGGTTGCAGGACGGGGAAGCTTTCTTGCACTTGGAGGATGGCCAGGTGTTGACAGTGGAGTATGTGAGGGAGCAACCCAATGCTTTCCATGAGCATGAACTGCAGAGTTCCGGTGAAGACGAAGACACCGATGCAGCAACAGACAGTGCTGGCTCGACACGCTCCGCTGACAGTGGAACAGGACCACCCACCTCAGATCGCAGTCGAACACCGCGAACATCACCGGCCGCCTCTGATCACGACAGGCAGCAGGGCACTCGAAACGGCCCTATGCAGTCAAAGGCCAAGCCACCAGGGATACTAGCCTCCCTAGGAAAATCTCTAGCAGGTTGGGCAGTTCTCTTTACGGGTACAGCATCACTAGAGAGCCTTCCGGTAGGAGGTGCAGTCCCTATTCAGAGGCGGCATTCAGCACAGTTACCCGGGGTCGACCCTCCGGAGCCCAGTCGAGATAGCATGTGGCAAGCAGCTTTTCATAGTGACGCTTCTTCCTGGAAGCAGCTGTGCGACACCTCTGCCCTCCTGGCTCTCAGCAGTGAGGTGCACCCGGATGACATGCAGGCACAGATCCGGCTGGTTCCGACACCATGCCGTGCCAACTCCCTTACGGCCCCTAGGTGTGCAGAGCCTGTGCCCATTGTGCAGGAAGCATTTGAGCTCGGACCCACCCTCTTAGAGGAATCTGCCAGCAGGCAGGGCAGTGGTGCATACCGGGAGGTCAGGATTTTGTTGGAAGCCCTCTCCATGAACGACCTGGAAAAGGAGCAAGCACATGGTTCGCCTACCCGCCCTCGACTGGACCTGCCTGGACTTGTTCCAGTTACAGCATTTCAGGAGGCCGCATTGACTCTACAGTAGATCGTGCCCAACCCGACATGCGATGTAGCAATAAACGAGCAGCGCGGAGCGGCGGATTGGCTGGACAATGATCTCAGTCATCTTTTCAGCAGCCCTGAGGTGCCATTTCGTTGGAAGCAGGTTTTTGCTCAGATGCCTCTCTGGCATAGGGAACCAGCAGGGTCGTTGCAGGGCTTTCTGATCTATACTGACGGCTCCGCCACAGGCCCCTTTCAGGATGACATCTCACCGGCCGCCTGGGCAATTGCAGTCTGGGCACAATGTCAAGAAGGCTTGTTCTTTGTGGGATGGAGTGCACACACCACTGCACCTCCAGACACCCCATACCACATTGGGGAATCTGCCGAGACGGCTGTGACAGCAGAGCTCTTAGCAGTTGCTTGGGGTTTAGCCTGGGTCCTTGAATACGGGATACCCTTTCAAGTGCCAATTGAGTTTCGTTATGATGCGACGGCAGCCGGCGGAGGCATTTTTGGAGATCAGCGCTTGCCTACTGATGATGGAGGGACGGTTCAAGCACTTGGAGCCTTTGCCCTACAGCTTCGTTGTGCCGTGCAGAGCCGATGTTCCCTTTTACATAGCCATGTGAAGGGACATTCAGGTGAGCCAGGGAATGAGTTATGCGACCTTCTAAGGCCAGCAGACGTCAACCCTCCGATTCCTACGACAGATGCTTACCATTGTGGCCGGGACAGTGGTTTCAGCACGAGCTTTGGCAATGGGGGTGGCTCGCACATATGAATAGTCCAGTTTATCCCGCCCTTCCAGCCTTAGAAGCGGAGGCTTTCCGTATGCAGACCACGGCGAATGTACCGTTGCCGCCTAGTCAAGGGACCCAGATTCGTGACTGCCCCAGGGCGGAAGTCGTGTTTGACATCACGGCGGTCACCTATAATGTCCTTACGCTCTTTGACCCACATGTTCCGCATGGCCGGCGGAAACGGGCAGAAAATGTAGGCATGTGGGTAGCTGGAAAAAGGGCTCTGATGAAAAAACAATTCGCAGCTGCCGACATGTGGCTCATAGGCCTGCAAGAAACTCGTCTGCCAGAAAGTGCTGTGCTTCCCGATGATGAGTTTCTAATGCTCTGCGCGGGGGCAGACGAGACCGGTCAACATGGATGCGCGCTTTGGATAAACTTAAAGCACGTGTATGCAAGGGACGGGCGTACCGCGTTTAGGGTGCAGCGTGATCAGGTTGTTGTGACCCATAGTTCCAGCAGGCACTTACAGGTACATGTGGAGGCACCACGCCTAAGCCTCACAGTCCAGGTTTTGCATGCTCCACGCGTGGCCGCCCAGGGTCTTCAGGCTGTCGAACTGTTTTGGCAGGCGCGAGCTGAGGAGCTGCAGAAGCGAAAATCTGGTGCAGACTTCGTCATTTTAGCTGACGCAAACGCTCATCTGGGAGATGTGCTAACGGCAGCTACAGGCGAAGCAGGGTCAGAGCCGGAAAATGCAGAAGGTGAATGCTTCCAGAAGTACCTTCAGGATGTAGGAGGGTGTCTTCCGTCCACCTTTGCTCGATGCCATCGAGGAGAGCACTGGACCTGGACCTCACCGGGTCTTAATGGAGTGCGCCATCGCTTGGATTACGTAGGGGTCCCACTTGAATGGAGGGATTTCGAGCATGAGACTCAGGTTTGGTACGAGCTAGAATCCCTCCAGGCCCGACAGGATCACATGCCCTTGTGCTACAGCTGCACCTTCTGTCAGGTTGCACCTGCGCAACGATATAGGACGGCTAAGCGCATAGCTGTACGCCCGCCTAGAGACGTGTCCAAAGAAGGCCGTCGAGCCTTTGCGGCCTTCCTGGATGCGGCGCCGCTTGTCCCATGGACAATTGACATCGACGCCCACTACAACCAGCAAGTTGAGACTATCAAACATGGGGCGGAGAAGTTGGATGCAGAGCCAGTTTGTCAGGCTAATAGTTTCTACCTCAGACAGAGTAGTTTGCAGCTCATACGCGTCAGAAGGGCGTATCGCGCTTATATAGCCGCAGAGGAGACGGAACGCTTGCGCAGGGTTAAGTTGGTGGTTCTTGGTGCATTAAGGCATCATGCACAGCGTGCGCGAATAGGCAGACATGCTCCAGACGCGGCCAACCGATGGCTGTGGGAGATCGACATTAGCCTGGCGCGTGCACTGGAAAGGTACCAAGAGCTGAGCGTGGCCGTCAAAGCAGCGGTCAAAAGAGACAGGCAGAGCTATTTGGAAGGCCTTGCCCAGCAGATCACCATTCAGGATCTGCGCAAGCCACGCGCACTATACGCAGCAGTTCGCAGAGCGTTTCCTAAAGCTGCTTCTTCACGGCGGTCACGGTTCCAGCCGTTGCCGGCAGTCAAACTGGCAGACGGCAGTTTGGCCAGCACCCCGGAAGATCGAGCACAAAGGTGGACCGAATTCTTTCAGGAGCAAGAGTGTGGTTCTCAGGTTACGCCCTCCGAGTACATTGCGGTTTTTCACGAGCCGGACATACCGGTGTTGTTTCATGGTCCGGTTTTTGATGTTCATGCCATCCCCACCATAGGGGAAATGGAACAGCAATTGCACACCATGAAGTATGGCAAAGCGAGTGGGCCAGATGGGCTGACGGGTGAATTAGTCAGGGTAGCTGTGCCGGCCGCAGTCAGGGCCTTCTACCCCGTCAGTTTGAAAGCGTCTCTTGGGGTTCGCGAGCCTTGCGAATGGCGCGGCGGAGCGCTTATGACATTGGCTAAGCGTGCGCTTGCCACGTATGAGTGCCAAGAATTCCGCTCCATCCTGTTAGCCAGTGTTATGTCCAAAGCCCAGCATCGCTTGCTTCGCAATAAGCTCACACCGGCGTTTCAAGAGTACAAGACAGCCCTTCAGGCCGGTCAGTTGCCAGGCACGGGTGTTGATAGCCTTATCCTTCTGACCCGGGCCTACCAACTCCGAGCACAGCACCGCCGCTATGCATCGGCTCTGACGTTCTTTGACGTCAAAGCAGCATTTTACCGCGTCGTCAGGCAATCCCTTCTGCCGACCGCTCAGGGCGTCACAGATGCAGGTTTCCTCCAGGTCCTCCATAGCCTAGGGGTCCCGGATCATGCACTGCCCGAGTTGACTACACACCTGAGTGCCATGGCAACGCTGCAGGAGGCAGGGGTGAGTCAATTCACCCAAGCCCAAATCAGCGATTTGTTCCGTGGTAGTTGGTTCCGACTGGATGCCTCAGGGCCCCTGGTCGCGACCCGCAAGGGTACGCGGCCAGGGGACCCTTTGGCAGACATGCTGTTTGCGTTTTCATTTGCCGCGTATTTAAGAAGTGCTCACCAAGCACTCCAGGCTGCACAGGTTGAAACATGGGTGCCGCCGTCACCAGTGTCGTTCGAAGGCTTGTGTGAGAATGAGGTGCCGGAGGTGGGTTGTCTGGCTTGGGCGGACGATTACACCCATCTGCAAATGGCCAAGAACCCCGAGCTGCTTCTCAGCCTGGTAGTGCAGGCCACAGAGATCCTCACGACACATGCAACTGCGAACGGCATGCAGCTCACCTATGCCGAGGATAAAACGGCCACTCTTTTGTCGGCCAACTGTCCCCGAAGTGGAACCTCCGACTACCGGGTTCCGGACCGGCATGGCCGGCCAGTCCTTCGGATTCAAGACAGCATCACTAAGGCTGTCCACGAGATGCCTGTGGTTTCCAGCTATCGGCACCTGGGCAGTGTTGCAGTGGCGAACGCTACACCCTTAGCAGAGGTGCAGTACAGATACGCACAGGCACGAGCGGCCCTGCGACCACTGCAGGCGAAGCTGTTCGGGGCTAAGGGCATCCCGCTTGGATTGCGCAGGACGTTTTTGCGGTCGCTTGTTTTGACAAAATTTACCTTTGCCAGCGCCAGCATCATTTTGCAGGCGAAGCAACATAGGCGACGATGGTGTCAAAACTTCGTGTCCCTATGGCGTGGCCTTCAGAAAAGGTGCAAACCGGAGGACCAGGTGCACAGTTACGATGTGCTTATCGAAGCTGACAGTGCCTCACCACTGTTGATGTTAGCACATGCCCGAGCGGTGTTGTACGCCAGGTTGCATAAGCAAGGGCCGCAGGCATTGCTTTTCATGCTCCATGCACATTGGAAAGAGACGGAAAGCCAATCCTGGCTTGGTCAATTTGTGTGGGACTTGAGGGCTGCCAAGCCTTATTCAGATTGGGCACAGCAGTTTCTTGCTAGCGGGCAGCCGGTTCGAGCTTTGCTGAGGGCGCTAGAAGATGACCCGGGCTGGTGGGTTAAACAGGTTAAACACGCATGTACTGAGTACAAAGCAGATCTGCGCAGGTGGCAGGCTAATGGCCGTCCCCAGCACCCGGAAACAGCTCCACCAGCTCAGGATGGTGCCTTTGTCTGCTCAGTGTGTAATGCCGCCTTCCGGCTACGAAAGCATCTAGGTGCTCATCAGGCCAAGGCTCACCGTATTTACAGTGTCGTTAGGCACTATACCCCAGCCCCATACTGCCTTTCGTGCCACAAGTATTATCATACTGTAGCGAGAGCCCAATATCATCTCAAAATGCATCCAGCGTGCTTGCTCCGAGCAGCTCATGTATTCAAACCCATGCAGTGGGCAGAAGTGCAGGAGGCAGAGATGACAGATAAGCAACGTAAGGCAGCGCTAAAGAGGGGGTCCTGGCAAGCATATGAACCCGCAGAGCCGGCTACAGTTTTCTACGGTCCTAGGATCCCCACGTACAGTGAGGCCTTGGGGGACCTTACGGACGAGAGCATCACCCTAGACAGGATACAGCGGCAGTACAGGCCGTCAGTACAGATTCTGCGATGGGTGCAAGATCACATAGACGGTGCCTCGAAAGAAGGCAGCCGTAACGAGGCAGTAGAATTTTGGTTGCACCGTCCAGCCACTTCTGCTGAACCTCCAGTTTCACCCTCTTTTGTGAGTTGTGCAGATTTTGGGACGCACTCCCAGTGAGATCTACCGTCCGCTCAGGAACAGGAACAGGAATACTATTGCCAGGCTGTTTGCTTAGGTCTGCCCAGGTCATCCGGCCTCTTACTAACGAGGAGGTACATCAGGTTGAGGCTGGCGATCGCCGCCGTAGGCAAGCTCTCAAACGCGGCTCTTGGAGTGCTTTTGCGGCATACCTCCCACGTCTCCCTACTTGTGCTGAAGCTGCCCCCTCTACCGATGATGAGGAGGCTACCCTGGACTGCTTGCGTAGGCGTTTTGAGCCATCCGTTGCCGACCTTTCTCGGGTCGAAGCCTGGATAGGAGCGGCGTCTACCGAGGGACCTCGGACCGAATGTACAGATTTCTGGCTGCTCAAGCCCACTGCAGCCTCGTAGGGGACTTCGTCATGTTTCATGTTTCACTATGCAATTTTGGGACGAGCCTTCATTGGCACTTCTGTCCGCCAGGAATACCAGGAAAATACTATTCTGGGGGTTCCTTATTATAGTTGTAGCATAATGGGCCCCAGAACCCTATTCTAGATATTGAGGCCGCTACAATATATCTTGATGAACAAGTAGAACTCAGCTAGCACTTGCACGTGAACACCCCAACCATCCCAAACTTAAAGTTCTAGACGCCACTCCCCAGACTGACAAACAAGAACAGCATGGCGCGCCGCAGCAGAAGCCCAAAAAATCTAAAGCCCAAACCCAAAATACCTGAAGCACATGTCTGAAATTCGGAGGAAAGCCGAACCCATGCCCTAAAGCCTAAACCATTGATGCTCTTAAAGGTTCGCAAACTGCAGATCCAAACCCTAAACCCCAAAACCCTCTCAACCCTATAAACCCCTAAAAACCCTAAAAACCCTAGATCCCCTAAACGCTCAAGACCCCTGCATCCCACTCTTGCGGAGGGAACCAAGTAGCCAGCGGGCTCGAAAGGAGATGAAGTCGGAAGTGGCCTCCAAAAAAATAGCAGGGGCCCAAATAATAAGCTCCTGTCAATTTTGAAGGTCTAGAGTTTCGGATTGGTTGAGGGTTTACGGTAAATTACCTAAACTATTTTCGTGCTCCACATTATTTTTGCATAAGATGCCCCAAAGCAATGTTCGAAGTGTTCAGGCCCCTACTTAATTGTTATTTTATGGAATCCGAAAGTTTAGCGATGTTTAAGGATTACGCTAAGCCCGATTCCCAAAATGGGAGTTTCAGAAAATAGGGGACCCCAACATAGACCGCCGACAGTAGGATTCTTGTTAGAAGTACCCCTACTATTGAGAAACTCCAGTGCGGGATTGTTGGTGTTGTGCGTGTAGTGGGTAAGGTTTAGGCCTCAGGCGTTCAAGACTTGTGGGGTCCAGCACCGTTTAGTCTGTGTTTGTGTGGTTTCATAGCCTTCATTAGGATTCTGCAGGGGTTTGGGCTAAGGGGTGACAAGACTAATTTTAGAGGCATGGGGTTTCAGGGTTTTGTGGCTATGGCGACGGGATTCAGGCTATGGAGGTTTGAGATATGGGCTTTGTGTTCTGTAGTGCTCACACGAGGTTCTTTCGGATTCGGGCCCTGGGCTTAGTTCTTGGGCTTTAGGGGCTACTTAAAGGGCTACTTTGATAAAGGCCCATGGGACGTAGTACGTAAGGCTATAAAGTAAGTTCGTAAGTAAGATAACCCTACTTAAGACCCCAATGGCTAATTATGGAAATAGCCCTACTTTACTACCTCACACGAGTCTTTGAGTAGGCTTTATTAGTCTGTACCGTTCTAGCCTCGGGCTGAGGGCTGGGATTCATCTGTTGGGCTTGAGGGCTTTGGGCTGCGACCAGCCGCGTTCCAGAATGTATTCCCCAACCCCCAAACCCCTAAACCCCTCAACTTCGAACCTTGAAACATAACCTTGAAACCTTAAAGCCTAAACCTCCAAACCTCAAACGGACCTTTTTTGCACATAGTATTTCAGTCCCAAAATCGTATAGAAACCTCGCAGGACTCTTGCAGAACCCTTGTCGCATCCGTAGCAACCCCCTTCCCCGGAATACACATCCAACAACTTCGGGTTCGGACCCTATGCGACAATCTAGTGCTATGTGCTTAGACGTAAAATCAACTTAACGAAAAACATGCTAGTACGACGAGACATTCGTCCTGCTGATGCTCCCGGTGGACTCATTGCCGTTAGGGACGACTGGTTCATGCGGCGTTTGCTGATGCGCGGAGCGCATGCTTCGCCTCTCGAAACCATTCCCCCAACGCAGCGACCCGAAACCCTAAACCTCAAACCCTAAAACGTTACGTTATGCCCCGTCTAGCCGGGATGGTTCTCTTGGTAGGTTTAGTTTCACTGAAGCTGCGATTGGGTCGACTTCTATACTCCTCCAAGAACCCATCCTAGGCCCCAAACTCCAAGCCCTAAAGCCTAAGCTCCAAACCCCCAAACCCCAAACCCAAAACCCTCTCAAACTCGTCGGAACCCTTGTAAAACCCTTGTAGAACCCAGTTCCTAAACCCTTGCACTCTAAACTCCAAATCCTAAACCCCAAACCTGCATTTTCCGACCAAGACTCCTTGGAGGACCCATAGCCGAAGACAGCCATCGGCCCGGAATCCTTCGCGAAGGGCAGCCGCACCTTCGCAGCTTGAGGGAATCATGTGGGTGGTTGTCAAAATTAGGGTCCCTTTTTGGGTACCCTGAATATTAGGTGCCGTATTATAGTAGGGACCCAAAAAGGGACCCTAATATTGACAACCACCCATGTGGCTTTGGGGTTTCGGGCTTCAAGAGTGTCAGGTCTACAATGTTATAGAGTTTCTTCATGTGTGTTTCGGGCTACGGGAAGTCACCAAAAGGATTTTGCCCACGTACGGTCACTGTAGAGCCTGTGTCGGCACTTCGTCATGTCTTCATTTGGCTTTTTGCATTTATGTCGGGTATGCCTTTATAGGATTTAGAGTAACGGGTTGCGGGCATCGGTCGTGGATCTATTACAGGTGCCTGATTTTGAACGGGGCTTTGGCTTACTTAAGGAACCCTAAGGAATTGCTAATGTTTCCGGCTCCGATCTTCGCCTCTGGGGTGTAAGGCTGTTGGGCTGCGGTGTAGTGTCCATGTACTGAACCTTTGAGCCTACATTTGATTGCAGTCAACTTTTGTACAACACATGTATACTTATATGACACAACAAGAAAAACTTGTGGGCGAAGCAAGTCGGGCGCCTCTCCTAACATGGAGATCGAATCAGGAGGACTGATGATAGACTGCTTGTCCCTTTGGACGGAACTGGCTTCTTGTTAAGGAATATAATTTAAGCTACCATAATTGGGATCTGTCGTAAAGGAATATGGTTTCTTTATGATGGTAACTTAAACTAAACTCCTTAACAAGATGATGGGAGGCCAAAAGGGGGTGTTAAGATTATTGGGGTAGGGATTCCTTCATATGAACCCTATTATGGGAACACAAATCTCCCTACTAAACCCCCATAGGCTAAAAACCCCTTCTGGCCTCCTATGGGGCCTATGGGCATTAAGGCATCTATACTATACTATGCTATAGACTCCTACTATAGATCCCTCAAAGACCCCTTTAAGGAGCCCATTAAAGGAACCCCAAGGCAAGCCATGATGGGCCTCCTATGACAAGAACCCAGGGAATTCTCCGCGTAGGCACAGCCTGTCCGTGCCAGGACTCACGGTGCCCGGACTTCAGAGTTAGGCGAGGCACCGCATGTGGAGGAGGAAGAGGGTAGTTTAGTGTTTCGGGGCTTAAGCTACTTAGGGCTCAGGGTTTAGAGTTCGGGGCTCAGGGTTTTTTTTAGGGTTTAGTGTGTGGGGTTTGGGGTTGAGGGTTTAGGGTTTGCAGTCTAGGGTTTTAGGGTGTAGGGTTACGTGGCGGAGCAGCTGATGAGCAGGGAAGGAGGGCCCTCGTGAGGTACAACCAGCTCATCTGGTTTGCGCAGAGCGTCGTTACACTGGCACGCACACATGTCTGCCGTCTCGAAACCCTTAATCAATCGACTGCGGGGTTCGCTTGGTAGAGCCAGCGTAGCAAGCACATGCCTGCGAATGACGCGAATGACGCGTCGCAGAACGTCGCCCTCAATCCCCTCCCCAATCACCCCACACGTAGCATCTTTATGTGTTGGGGGTCGCCTTTAAGGCTTTCCTACAAGAGCTTGCTGCAGATAGTAGCCACTCGCCGCATGCGCGTACAGCCGGGCCAAGGCGGACGACGCGCAGCGTTTCAAATTACTCTTAGGGATTGAGGCTATTGGGTTTCCAACTTTTCGGCCTCTACTGTAGTCCTGAATCCACCACCCCAGAAATCCAGAAAAACCGACCCGATACTCGAAAGCCCTAAAACCTAATATAGGGGCCTTGATAATTAGAATAAGGTTTTGAGGCCCATTCAACTATAATTATAACAAGGAACCCTAGAAATAATATTGGTAATTATTTCGGCTCCTATAGTACCCTCACACCC